CCCTCCCCTCAACACCCCTATTTCTTTTTACAGAAGTCCTGTTAACATTTCTTGCAATTTCCGGCTTAGCGATGATGGATTCCTTTAGCTTTTTCCTGTCTGGGAAACTCTTTATCTCACCTTCAGTTTTAATTGATAGTCTTGCTGGGTATAGTAGTCTTGATTGTGAGTTCTTGTTTTTCACCACTTTGAATATTTCATGCCAATCCCTTCTGGCCTGCAAACTTTCTGTTGAAAAATCAGGTGGTATTCTCATGAGAGTACATTTGTAAGTAACTAGCTGCTTTTCTCTAGCTGCTTTTAAGATTCTTTCCTTGTCTTTAACTTTTGGCATTTTAATGTGGGTCTGTTTGGGTTCCTCTTGTTTAGGATTCTCTCTGTGCTTCCTGAACTTATATGATCATTTTCTTTGCCAGGTTAGGGACGTTTTCTGTAATCGTTTCTTCAGATGGGTTCTCAATCCCTTGCTCTCGCTCTTCTCTTTCTTGTACCCTTATGATGCACATGTTGGTGAGTTTGATGTTGTCCCAGAGGTTTCTTAAACTTCCCTCGTTTTTTAAATTCTTTTTTCTTTTGTTCCAATTGGGTGTTTTCTGCTGCCTTATCTTCTAAATTGCTGATTTGACTCTCTGCTTCATCTAGTCTACTGTTGATTCCTTCTAGTGTGTTCTTCATTTCAGTTATTGTAGTCTTCATTTCTGACTGGTTCTTCTTTATGGTTTCTATGTCTGTTTTCATACTTACTATCTCTCTGTTGAAGTCCTCACTGAGATCATCTATTATCTCCCTAAATTCATTGAGCATCCTTATAGCCAGTGTTTTAAACTCTGTCTCTGGTAGGTTGCTTGCCTTCATTTCATTTAGTTCTTTTTCTGGAGTGAAAATTTCTCTCGTTTCTTTGTTTTCTCATTTAAGTTATCTCTCCATGTTCATTTCTATGTATTAGGAAGATTCGTTACATATCCTAGCCTTGGCCGGGTGGCCTTATGTAGTAGGTATCCTGTGCATCCCAATGGCATGGTCTCCCTGATTGCCTGTGCCAGGGGCTCTGGGCATGTTCCTTATGTGGGTTGAGTGTGTTCTCCTGTTGTAGCTAAGCCTTGATTACTGTTAGCATGTCAGTACATGGGACAGACTCTCGGACTGACTGACCGTGGAGATTGACCACACACACAGGGTACGAGCTGCTGCATGGATTCATCCCAGCAGGCTCATGCACCTGTTGAGACTACCTTTTAAATGTTCCATTTATGGGGCTAGTCAGGTGGTGCTCTGTTATGGTCTGATGCCAGCCTCTGGGTGTGTTGGTTCTGGGGCCCCTTGGGAGGGGCTCCCTTGTAGGCCAAGGTCAGCCGCTACCTTTGATTGTTCGGGGTTACCTGATAGGAGCTACAAAGTGATCTGTGAATGACTGCTGCCTGTGCTGGATCTGGAGGCAAGTAGGAGAGACCGCGCTGCAGACCAAGCTCGGTTACCCTCAGTACCAGGCCCATGGTGGCTCAGCAAAAGGACCAGCGCACCTCAAGGCCTGAGGCTGTCTGCCAGTTGCCCGTAAGTCTCCACAGCTGAAAGAGCCTTTAGTTGGCTTAGGAGTTGGGTGGGTCAGGGATCCAGGGAATTATAGGGATAAAGTGTGCAGATTTTACCCAGTCAATGCAGAATCATGTTTTGTTCCAGTGCTGAATCTGCAGCTTCTTATAAAAGACTCAGATCACAGCAAAGGTAGCTGTGGCCTGCCTCATGCCTGCAGGCACCCAAGATGCTTTCCCAAAATACTGTAGCTTGGGGTGGGATTTGTGGCCTGCCACAGAAAGTCTCTCTCGGGATGCACTGGCTGTGCACCAGCCATGTGAACTGAGGTCTGTTGGTTTGCTGTTGAATTTGCAGCCCAGGGAAAGCACAGGGTGGAGCTGGTTACTGGGCAATGAGCCTACCATGAGCGATTTGTGGGTTGGGTAGTGCAGGGTCTCAGGGAGACATAGCGAGCCAATTCTGCCTGGCCAACGTAGATGGCTGCCAGAGCTGAGCCCATGGACTTCCACAAAAGACACAGTTCACAGTGAGGCCAGCCGCTGTGCACTTTGGGCCCATAGACCCCGGAATCTGCCCAAGAGACACTGCAGTTCAGGCTGGCACCAATGGCCTGCTGCTAAAAATCTCCTTCATAAAGTGTGGGTTGCATGCAGGCATTGCAAGCTGAGGGCTGCTGCTTGCTCACAAATGCATGGCCCAAGGAAGGTGCAGGGTGGGGCTGACTGCCTGGGCAACTTGTGGGCTAGGTGGGGCAGGGTCCTAGGAAGACATGGGGTGGAGCAGGCCAATCTCACCCAGCCAATGCAGCTTCAGAATTGGCCAAACGGGTGGAGTGTCCAACACTGGCAAGATGGCGCCCATCTCTAGTCTGCCCCGCAGGAGGGCCCACAAAGGTAGCAATGGTGGCTGTCTCTCCAGCCCCTGCTCCAGTGCTACACAACTCAGTCCTTCCCCGTATGCTTCCTGTACCTCCCAAGCTGCTGACCCTTCGCTGGTACCCAGGGTGAGTGTCTGCGACCGAGTCTGTGTGCAAGCCCTTTAAGGGGGATGTCTGGTTTTTTAGGCTCCTTCTGTCTCACTTGGACAGCCAGAACCCCTACTGATTTTTACAGTAAGATTTTGTGGAATCTCCTCTTCCCGGGGCTGGAACTCTGGGCTGGAGAGCCCCTGTGTGGGGCTAGGGACCCTCGTTCCTTCAGGGAGGCCTCTGTAGCTGTGCTCTCCTACCTGGTGCTCAGTCACCATGCATGGGTACAGGACCAGCCTGCTTCATGTCTCCAACTGGTCTCGATGTGGCTTTTTCTTTATAGCCTCAGATGTATGTGTTAGGATCAGCTAGACTTCAAGTAGTTCTCCAAGTTGTTTGTTTTATAATTTGGTTGTAATTTTAATGCGATCCTGGGAAGAGGCAAACCCTGCTTTTACCAAGCCCACCATCTTGACCAGAACTTCCTCCTTTCCTGTCTTTAAGATCTGGTTTTACAGATACTTGATTGTTCAGCATTCCCCTCGAACACTCCTTTATTCCCTCACACTTCTATTTCTCTATTCATGCAGTTCCCTTCTCTGACAATGCCATTTCCATTCTTCTCTAACAAACTTCTACTTATTATTCACTGTTTCAAATGTTACCAACTTTTAAACTCAAGCAGAATTTACCATTTCTTCCTCATTCTTATCACATTTACATATTCCATCATGGCACTCATCCATTGCAGCACTCAGTTGAGCGTGTACATTTGTCTCTCCACTAGACAGAAAGCTTCCTGGGACACTTTTTTCATCTTTTTTTCCTATAGTGTCTTGAAAGGTGCATAGCTCTATGCTACTCAATGAATTCTAATATCCCTGAGGTATCTCAATGATATCTAATATCCTTCATGAATTCCCCAAGCTGACGATATCTCCTGTTTATCTTCTTTGCTCCAGTTGAGATAGCAAAATATGTTGTATCCTTTAAGATCTCCTTTCCATAGGTCCTTCATCCTTGAATATCTGTGATCTATATCCTCAGTACTGACCATAGTATTTAGCATATGATGCGTGCTCAATAAATATTTGTTGAAATAAATCAAAGCATTGCAAATAAACATTGAGCATGTACTAGTACATGTCATGTGACAGAGTCCTTCCCTGGAGTAACCCCTCATACTGGTTCTCAACCTATAGTTCTCTGTCTTTTCTCATCCTATGATCCTAGGATCAAAAACTCTGGGCTCCGGTCAGTCCTTATTTTAAATAAACAAATCTCTTATTTTCCAGTTCTTTCCCATTTCTGGAAAACCTCCTACTGATACACATCTGGGGGTCTTTCATGACACCCTAAGTCGCTTTTTTACTCACCCTCAAACTAGCTTCAGTCTTTTCCTCCTGAGATCAGCCCCATAGAAAGAAGTTTGCAATTCTGGGCCCTGAAGATCCACCCACCAATCACCAGCAGCATAACTACATTTTCATTACTAATGAGGAAGCATAAAGAAATGACACAGCGAAGTCCGTTTAGTCAAACCTGAGGGAATTGCTTACTGAAGTCGAAGTGGGCTTCTCTTAGACGCATGGTTCTGGCACCAAGATCAGAACCATGTCAGGAATCTCTTCCTGCCTCTCAAAGCGTCAACTTTATGCTAACCATTCAGATCAGAGCATCCACACTACAGTTCTCAGACCAGCAAGGCCACCCCAGTCCTTCCAGGAGCAGAGAGAAAGAGACTAGACTGAGTGGAAGAGAGCCCTCCCCTTGGGCATATGGGGTCTCGTAGACGACTTCACTCTCTGACTGGAGACACTCTCACAGAGGGAATGGTGAACATGTACCCATGAGAGTTGGAGGCTGTCCCACCACCATCACCATCACCACCCCAAATTGTCAATTGCATCACCTTTTTGAAAACAGAAACAGGGGATCTTCCAAATGGGGTTGACTCTTCCCGTACAGGTCTCAGTCAAAAGGCAATGCTCCTAGAAAATTCCTTAACTGAGGTTAATTTCAGTCAGTCTTTGAAGCTACTTTCCTTTTATGTTCCTCTGGCAATTCTGGACTTCCCCTTGCTCGCTGCCCTCAGCTATGTGGCTTCAGAGGGACACAGGCTTGGTCACTGTAGGGGCTTCCAGTTCAGAAGTAAGGGTGGGGAAAGGGAAATAAAAGATTAGAGCAATGAAGCCAATTATTTTGGCTGAGGAAAAGGAAGGCACTTTGATTTTTGTCAAGGTGCTTTATCGTTTTCATTCCTCTCTCCTCTAGAGTCACCTATTCCACATTGGATACTTCAGCTCAGAGTGGTGAGATGGGCTTTGAGTTTCAAGTTCACCATCCATATTTTCTATCCCTTATCGTTCCCTGTTACCTTCCAGCTCTTTCTCTTTAAATTCTCCTTTTCTTCCCACCTCTGTGAATCTCTCTCTCTCTCTCTCTCTCTCTCTCTCTCACTCCTTCTCTCCCTCTTTCTCATAGAAGGAGAAATTAAGACTCATACTCGAAGTAATTTATCAAAGGTGTAGGTGAATGAGTTGAAATCAAAAGACAGACTATCACAGAAAAGATATATGCAAGTTAAGTGACTGTATGAAGCAGCCTGAAAGTACCAGTAAGGAATAAAGGAGACTGAAAATTCCAAATAAAATATTCAAAATTTTAAAAACTGTACTGTTCCTGCCATTTTAAAAAAAACACACGCACCTGTTTTCTGGTCAGATTTTGGCTTTCAGAGCACCTGTTTGAAATGCCATTTTCTTTTTTCTTTAACATTCTTAAATCAGGGATTACTTTGGTTTCTGTTCTTTTCTAAGAATGGAGAGAAAAATATGCTAGAGGAGAGCATGCCGGGAGGGGTGATAACCTCTGTCAGAGTTTCTGATGCAGATGCCACCACATCCTTACCATCTGTGCTGCAGCTCTGTGCTCAGAGACCTCCACTTCTGGATCCTCTCCCATTGATTAACAGGTCCCCTAAAATAGCTGTTGCTAAGTTTCAATTTAGAATAAACTAAGAAAAGCAGAACACGCACACACACAAAAAAGATATTTTGGAAGGGACTTCAAAGACATGTGGTGTTTCTTGATTTATTAGTTACAGGAAGTAAGACTCTAGTGAGCAGAAGGGGTCAGGGTAGTTAAAAATGCTGCTGTCAGCCCACAGAAACTTTAGGGTAATCCCGCAGTTCTGGAGGGAAGGTGGAGACAGCTGCCTCTCGTTAGGCGGAGAAGGCAAAGCCCACCCTGTTGTTGGTCATGTTTAGACAGAGTAATACTCCCTGAGGAAGACACCTCCTAGAATCCACATGGAGCTGTCCAGTCAGGGAGGGCAGATAGGTAGCCTCAAGTCCAAGCCTGCAGTGGTCATTGTTCTAAAGAGACAGAGGACATGAGGATACAACCAGTCTCACTATGGAGACCTTTCCACACAGGAACTGCCCCCATCCTATATTCCATGACACCCATGGGGGTCTCTGAATTATTGTTCACACTCAGCCTTGCCGCTGGGGATTCCCTGTGGCTGCCCAGATGTGAGCTGGGACGTGGAATTTCCAGGGAGCCTGGGGAGTGAAGACATAGGCAGAGGGAGGCAGAGGGAGCTGGGACCCGCTGATGATGAAGGCGATGGCGGGCATGCTTATAGAGTTTTCTGACATAATGTATATGATTTGTTAAGCTGGGCATTGTCTGATATTAAGTTGTCAAAAGCCAGCATAGGTCCTCATTTGCTGAGCTCTTCCCAGGACGTGGCTTCTTACCGAGAGGAGTAGAAGGTGAAGATGGGTTGGATGAGCTGGCCCTGCTGCAGCATCGTCTGCATAACTGCTGGGGCATTCCCCACCGCCACGTTTGGGCAGGCCATTCCCAAGATCCCATCAAAGTCTGGATAGTAGAAGGGAGTGCTGGGCTCGTTCTCACTCGGGCCGAACTCTTGGTTATTGACGACAATATTCTGAACCTGGGGCAGCAGACAGAAGAGCCTAACAATTGACATGGACAAAGCCTTTCTAGACTTGGGTGCCCAGGATGTGGAAGCTAGGACCTCTTCTGGGGAGAGGAAGTTGGCTTCTTTCATGCTGAGCTCAATCATGCGTGTGGGTGAGGAAGGCGAAAGGGCAACAGTTTCACCCAACCACGTGTTTTAGAAACAAGAGTGTGGGTGCTGGGGAAGCAGAGGCCACTGTTTTCTGAGGTTATAGTTTCCACTTCATTGTACAATGAGAGGACTGTGACTGGTTTTATATCGAACGACCCATGTTCAAGAATGATAGAGAAACTGTGGGCGTTACTCATAGAGAAATAGGAAAATAGTGAAAGAGCAGGTCTTCGAATATCCAGAGTGAGAGCGTGTGGAGGAGGAAGCAGGTTTATTCTATGTGGTTCCAGAGGGTGGAGTTCAGTCCAGGGAGCAAAGTCACGAGAAGACACAACAACTTTGACACATAGAAAGCTTTCTGCAGTCAGGACTGCTGCGGAAGCAATTCCTGTTTGGGGAGGAAGGTTGAATTCGATGATCTTTGGCATCCTTTCCAACTCTCAGCTCCTGGGAAGGTTATACCTACTTAGTAATCATGATTTCTTTCTCAGCTTAAGGCTCCAGGAAACGGGAGCCCAACCACAAACCCTTAGAAGCTGTGGGAACATCCCCCGCAGTCATGGTGTCATATCCCAGGACCACACTCGGGCTGCCACTCCCATAGGACAGCGTATAGATTTGCCTGCTGTTTCTGAAGGTGGAGGACAGGCTGGGGCTGAACCTGTTGTGATTGGTTGGAGAAAGGCAGAATGGGATATTAATGTCATTCACCGCTTCCTGAAATACTTGGAGGCAACTTACTCCCAATGGGATCATCGGACCAAGTCTGGGAGGGGGCTCAGCCTCAGATCATTTGTGATAGAGACAAACCGTGTTAGCCCCAGAAAAGCCTGTCCCCTTGGATAACAAACGTTGCCCAAATTCCTTCCAATCTACCATTCCCTGAGGAATGAATCACCTCGAAAGTGCCAGGAATCCTGGCCCACAAAAAAGAGCTGAGGGAAAGGGACAGTATAGGAGGGATGGAGTGTTAGTCTGTTCCTTCTGTCTCTTTCCGGAGTTGTCAGCACTTCTAAAATGTAGACTGAGGGCAAGATTTCTAGATATTCCTAATTTAAGGAGGATGAGAGAATGGATGTGCACAGAGATCTCTGGAGTTGACATTACAAGCCTGTGCTCAATCCTCACGCTGCCTCTCTTTCTGTTCCCATCCATGGGCAGATGGTGATGGTGGGTATGTACTCACAGCGAGCCTGGCTGTGGCAGTAGATGGAGGGTACCCACAGGTAGGAGGAGCCCATGTCAAAGAGAACCAGGAAATTTTGGGGTGGTGTCCCAATGCTGATATCCCCAAAATAAAAAGCCTGTGAAAGAAGATTTGTACCCTCATTAAGAAGCCAAGCCTTGTCCTAAGGATGGGGAAGAAGCTGACCCACTGGAAGCCACATTTTGCCAAAATCATTTCCTTTGGGGAATAAGAGACTTCTCTGACAACTTTTCCACCCCATGTGGGACCAAGCTCTTCTCAATATTTTACTTCCCCCCCGCCTATTTGTTAGCCTTTGACCAGCTGAGACTTAGCCTTGCAAGACAATATCTTCCTCTAAATGTGTTTTCTATTTTGTAATAAAATGATATCTCCACAGGTATATCATGCTACAACACCCAAATTTGGAGAAGCAATCATTTTTTTTCTCCTTTCCAAGTGTCTATCCACCCTCCCACATCTCACACACACACACACACACACACACACACGCATACCACTCATTTCAAGTCTTGGCCCCCAGTAGCTGTTCAGTTCATGATATCAAGAGACAATAAGACTGTCTCTCTAAGAGACCTGCAGAGGAAGGCCTTTGTGCTTACCTAGCTTGTCATGCTCCCTTACGACTGGAATTTACAATGAAGCTGAATCCCAATACACACCTTTCCACACCCTCTGAGAGGTGTAGACAAAGCAAGACCAAGATGAGGATCTTCACGGTGCTGATTTTCAGCTGCCCACCAACACGCAGGACACAGTGGCAGACCCAAGTGTCGAGACACACAGCGGGAGGTTGGGTCCCCCTCTTATACCCTAATCTCCCTGCACTTATCTCTAGGCGCGTGGGCATTTCTACCTTTATAAAAGCTTGTGCCTCTACCCATTCATGGATTCTGTTTGATTTTTCCTTTGGCAAGCATCAAGGACTTTAATATCCACTCTATGGTCAATTTAAAAAGCAATTAATGGCTTTGCTGATGGAATCTAAGATTAGGATGAGATAACAAATGTAAAATGCACTGGGGACAAAAGATCCTGGTACCCTTCCTTGTCTACTGAAAAATGGGTGCTGGCAATGGAACAATTTGCTCTTTAGCTGAAAAAGGGCCTGTGCTTTCTGGAGATTGACAGTCTCCTCTCTCCTCCTTTTCCTCCCTCTTCCTCCGATCGGTCTCATCTCTAGCCTTCCATATATGATTCTCACAGTGCATGACACTCTACTCTTCATTTCCAGCTCCTCAGGTCGTGAATTAGCCAACATTTATTGAGCGCCTATTCCGTGCCCATCTCTGTACTCAGCTCTGGGAGTGCAGAGATAATTAAGAAAAGGTCCTTGTATGCAGTGCCTGCAT